AAATGCAACTTCTGTTGGTCTTGTGACTATTTACTGAGCCACTCAATTTTGTGAACTTCTGTCTGGGTCTTCCTGGCATGCTTTAAATATTAAAGTTTCCATTGAGCTGGCAGAATAAACAAAGAAGTGTTCCAAGGAGAAGTGTATCTTGCTACAAATTTCATTTTGTAAAACATCAGGTGTGATGTGGCCTCTATTTTATATCTTTGTGGCCTCTAGAGCTCATACAAAATGTAAAGATTTTCCTTTTCCCCTTCTGTAATCAATAGCATTTGCTGCTGCTAAGTCTGTTATTTGGCTTATTGATTGCCAGTCATTCCTACTCAGACCTGTTTCCTGAAGATACTTCAGGAAAGGAATATTAAGATATGAGGTTACCTGATGTGAACATGCAGTTTCTGAGTCCTGGTACACATTCCCTTTTGCCTATTAACACGATGCAGGAGGACCAAGCCTCTTACTTCCACATTAAAGGTTATGGAATTTGTCAGTCAGTTGCTGGCAAATATGAAGTTGAATACATAAATAAAGTAAAAAACAAATAAGATCCCAAGACAACAAATCTAAGGAATAACAGAAAATATGTCTCAGTGTTAGACGACCCTTTTCCTTGCATCAGAGAACTGTATGAAGACATACATGCTTGGTAATGTCATTATTAAAAAACCTGCTTACAGATCACTTTTTGCTTTTGGGAAGAGTCATGTAACTTTACACTGGGAAGAACTTTCAGAGTGATTTTGATTCCCTTCCTGGCCCAGCTAGAATTTATCACTCTCCCTTTTAGTCTGGTATGCTAGATGTGCAGAAATCCTTAAGACAACACTGGTTACAGGTGTCCTGTCACCACTCCCATGGCTCCTGAAGTGCCTGGCTGCTGCATCTTACACAGTTTGGAATGCAGTGGGAGACAACAGAAATTTCCTTTGGGCCGGAAGTGCCTTTAGACAGTAATTTTAAATATCCAGGCTCTGCCAGTTGCTGAGGGTTTGATGATACTCTCGTGACTGCTATTCTGCAACTGCAGCATAGCAGACTGTTGGATTAAAGCAATTAAACATTAAGACTCATTAAACTAATTAAACATTTAAGGAGTTAAAGATGAATTTTTAATTTTCAGTCAGATGTGTCCTAAAGCTTACTTATAACCTTCCATCCACTGTGGTCACGATAGTGCAAACCCACTTGAGTCCCTGCAGTGCAGTGTCCCACCCACCAGCAGCACTGATCTGATAGTGTGAAGGAGGATGACCAAAGCCCTGAGCAGATGAAGCCCATTAGCACAGCTTGCCTCAGTTTCAATAGATCAAAAGTAACTCTTAAGAGCTGCAGTGAATCTCCCTGAGATGCCCCTCCAGCATCAGCTGTCAGCTGGGTAACAGACCGACACCTTTACATGTCAGGCCCTTTGCAATGAAGAAACCAATCAGGGATCAATAGTGGACTCCTAAAGGGTCTGCTTACTTTCAGTACTTGCTGACTTGTAGCTTCAGCATAATTAGCTGCTAATTTGTTTTACATTTCTGAGTCCCCTGTGTCTCTGCAACACTACATCCATATGCTTCTCTCTCATTCCTAGCTCCTTCCTTCCCGACGACAGGTACATGCTTTTCCCTCTAGTAGCATTTGGTTGTTTTTAGGTAACTGAAGTGTACAAAACAGAAGAACTACTTCCAAAAGGAGATGTCAGATGTACAGATGTGCTCTACCAGCTTCACCAGTTCTTTCATTCTGCTGCTTCATTCTGCAGTGCCACGTGCAGCACTGGGATCACTTCAATACCCAGCTGTTAATGGATGGACTGGCAGGAAGAGCCCCAGCCTTGTCCTGATGAGGTACCTTTGCTATGCTTCTTACCAGCCTTTCCTACAATGAATGCACTGCTTGAGAAGGGGTGATCTCCTGCTCTGGGAACAGCATGTCTGGTATGAATTACACTCATACCAGGAAATTCTTGCTCCAGAGTACCCACTGTACTCTTGACACAGTCTCAAATCTACTCATTATAGGAGCCAGAAACTGCAAGGTTAGAGCAGGGGAGCACAAGTGCAAGGCAGGAAACACAGCTCCCTGATAGGAACAAATGTAATTTGGAATTCTTTCAGGAAACAAAAAATTGCCCTCAGCTATCCTTTGTACAGGGAGGTAAAAGACTAAACACTGAGAAGTGTGTTTAATAAAAATACTCTCAAATACTTTGACACAGTTGGAATTATCTACAAGATGTGCTGACTGTAGCATTGTCGCTGACAATCTCCATGTACTTGCTCCAGCCATCCTATGCCAGCAATGCTCTCCCAGGACCTACATAAAGATATTAATAGCAATTCATCTCACAGAAGCCTGGTGCTAATCTTGACTCATGGCAGTGGTGAGCTTTGCAGTCTCACCCTACCTCTGTTCTGCATGAATGCACTCTTACTCGGCTTTATTTATTTTCATAGTAAACACAATTCCGGGAAAAGCTTTCCTACGCCCTCTGCTGGTTTTCCAAGACCGCCATTTTCACCCTTGCAACTCTTCCTGGAAAATACCGGTAGGTTCCCATACCTCTTCCATTTTCTTCTGACTAAACTGTAGCAAGATTTATAGGACAGAATCATAGGTGCAAATTATACCGATTACTTCCTCCTGCTTCCCTGTGACCTACAAAATGACTACCAATTTTCATGTTTACTTACCAGCATTTTTTGAACTTGACTGTTCAGGAAATCCAGGCAATCCCCATCTCTTCATAAACAGCAGGCTTCCTTAAGCAAGTCTGCACAGAGAACAGGAGCTGCCTTTGGTTCCCTTTCATGTTGAGCAGAGTGGCAAACTCCATGCAACTTCAGCCTAAACCTTATGGCCTCACAGTAATTTTTCAGTGGATCAATTATTTCCTTGTATTTCTGCCTTCACCGCCAAGCCTCCTTAAACACTTAACCGCTAATATTGAGGCAGTTGTACTAGGCAATTTCCAAAACTCTTCCAGAATAATTCTTTAAAGTAAGTTTTGTATATTCCATGAATGCTTACCAAAAGCTCAAGACTTCATACTGCTCTGATTCTCACTGGTGACTTACTCTGGTATCCAAAGCCAGTTCTGCAGGTTTCAATACTCAGGTTAGTAAGTCTTAACACTTCTGTTTCTGTGTTTTGGTGTATTTATGTATAAAGACAATCTAATTTATCCATAAATGTAAAACCCTTTGATAGTAATTCTCCAAAGAAAAAGACACGACCAGTTCCCAATGGCCAGATGGTGAGACTTGTCAAATACAAGGGTGTATCCTCAGTGCTAGAAATCCATACCATAATCACAGGCTGGGCCAGGTCATGACTGCAGTAAGGGTATGGTGTCTGACAATTCACAAAGCTTGAGTCACATAGCTGAGACCAGGTGTCTTAACTCTAACTTTGAGAGTGAATAACCCAGAGTGAACCCTCTACAGTAAATTCAAACGTGCACCAGGTCCAGCTAGGGATATACAATGGCAGTAACCCTATCTTGTCAGGAAAAAGGAGGTACTCATTAATCAATCCAACTTTAGTTTAAGGTTTTGGACGTGAACACAGCCCTTCTTGAAAATTCTCTCTGCTTCAGTTTTCCCTCCACGCAAATCTGCACCTTTTTAAATTGTATTAGCCAATTTACTTACTAAATGTTGTGCAAGCCTGTAGCCTCCATTACTGCTCAAACTCTTTGTTCCCAGTAAATGCAGGAACAGCAAACAAACTTCCAAGGCAGGAGAACTTTCACTGAAGAATCAAAAAACCAATAATGAGTGAGACACCACACACAAATCCACAAAAGCAAAACTCCCACACAGCATGCACCTCCACTATGAAATTATCACTTTCCTAAGAGTCCCATAAATACAGTGCTCTCTCAGAAGTGCTGACATGATGATGGTGCTGCTTCTTCAGAACTCGGCTCTTAGGGAGACTAGAGAACTACTTTAAGTCAAAATACAGCGTTAAAACACAAATGTCTCTGCTATTCTCAGTGATATCACACACACACCACTCACAAGAAAGAAAGAAAGCTTTTACCAAAACCACACAGTGAAAGCCACTCCTTGGGAATCCAGTGCAATCCTAAATGCAGAAGTGAAACCTGGCTGTAGCCAGCTGCCTTCCCACTGAACTGACAGGCAAGGAAACAGCCATGTTCCTGTGGCACCTGCTCAGTGTCCAGCACATCACAACTGGGGGCATCGGGAGCCAGCCAATGACTCTGCAAGTGCCTGCCTCCTTAAAGGAAGGTCAGAAGTGGTAAAGTCATGGAAACATTTAACATCTCCACCAGCAGGACCAACACAGTGCTGCTGCCTCAGCTCTTACACGCAGGTTTGCTCTGCACCAGCCTGCAACAGTTCACCTGCTTAAGTGGGAGAGCCTGCCTGTTCCACCCAATACAGGTCTTGGGTCACTGCATGATAACCAAACACCAGTACTGAGTGGGCAAAACAACACTGTCATCCACAGTATCTTCAGGGTTTTAAGTAGGAAATGCAAAATTTTGACTGACATTCATCTAAATGTTAGGATAATTTTGAACAGTTTTCAGGAAATGAAAATTCATTACATTCAATGCAAAACAACTATGCTGCAGATTATTAATCCAGCCCTGAGCTGGAGCATCAGGCAGGTACAGTCAGCTTCTGAGGACAGTATTAATCCTGGAGTTATGTTTTCCATCAGTGCATTTCTTCAAACAATTATTACTTAACCTTCCATGAAACTTTGCTCTCAAATTTTCACCTCAATAGTGCCAGCTAGAACTAAAAAACACCCAGCTAATATGTCTGGCACCACAACTGAAAACATTCAATACACTCCATCTTAAGCATTTAGATCTAGGATCTCCTCTTGGCTTTGACCAGTTAGTAGAATTGGAAATGGAAGATATTCAGACAAATGACGATGTCAACTGTCCCCCAGAAATGGGCTGCAGGAAGATGGGCAGCAAGACTGTGCATGTACCTTCAGTCATAGCCATGACTCCTGCCACATGATCCACTGAAGATATTTTATTTTTAAGTTAGGCCCACCATTATTTCAGAAAAAACAAGTTCCCTGCTGTTCTTCTTTTTACTGAGGAAGACACACCTGCAAACATATCAGCATTTGATAGGTACCGAGTCCGTTTTAATAGGAGAATCCGCAACCCAGAAACCATTAAACCCCCCTTCCCATAACCAGTTGTAAGCAGCTCTCTTTGGAGCTCAGAATCTGACTTGCATCCGGAAATGCATCTGCTTTGTAGCGTTGTTACTCATTCCTGTCTTGAGCATCCATTTTGACTTCATCCTCTGCAGGTACTGCATGTCACGCTGCTGAGCAGAGACGGCCCCTGCAGGGAGAGAGAAGGAAGAGAGACGGATCAATGTCTGCCACCTTACTTACAACTTGTACGCAAACCAGCTGACCTACACACATACTTCAGCAGTTACCTATCTTTTTCTTTTTTCCCATACCGGTACACTTCTCTCCACTTTTCTCTGGGGAAAGCCCAGCTCCCTCTACAAATACCCATGACTGTGATTAAAGCAAAAGGCTGTTTTGCATTCCAAGTGTGATTCTTGTATTTCAAAAGTGGATATAGACCAAAACTCTGTTCCCTACTGGGAAAGCATGACTTATGTTATATTACTAAATAGCAAGAGTAGTGACTTGGACAGGTATAAACCAAGAAATCTCAGGAAGTCACCAAGCATCACAAAGAACGGAATGAAAAGCTTGCACAGAAGCTGCACTGGATTTTAGAAACAAACTTTCTATATCCGCTTGGATGTCAGGAATTAAAATGAACCGAGTGGAAGACAAACTACTGCATAAACGCCACATGTCAAGCAAAGTCAACCTCTGGAACTGCAGAGTGCTGACATCCCAGAGCCTCCTCCTCTGCAAAGGCCTCCCACTGTCACTCACCTGCCTGCCCTGTCCAGCCCAAGGCTCGGTACTGCTGCAGCACCCGACCCACGGCTTTCTTGTTCTTCGCAACAGCCACGTCTCTTGTCACACCAAAACGCTGCTTGTAGTACCTCATCAAGGAACGGTGACCCACTCTGGCACCTGTTCACAGGAGGGGACATCTTATTATCCTTCTGAAATGGAGCACTCAAGCTTGTTGTGAGAACTGTGGGAAACCCCTCTGCTGAGAAATGTTATTAAAGGGTCCAGAACCTTAAAAATTTTAGGATTATTAGGGAACTCAATGTAATTACCCTAAGAGGTGCTTGAAGAAAAAACAGAAAATGTGCTCCTATTCAAGAGGGTCTTAGCTCAGATAATAAACGTGCAGTTATCAGAAAAGAAAAATCTTAATTAGTGGAATGAGCAGAGAGGCAATGCTGTTTCAAGTAAACAGTGAAGCCACTTGCTGACATTCAGGAAAACTTGTGTAACTGAAGATTTGGCAGCATTTTCAGAATGAAAGGGCTGAGGTCCCCACATACAAAACCACCAAACAAAAGAAAAAAAAAAGTGAGAGTGCCAAATGCTGAACTAGAGAAAGGCTATTTAATAATTTAATTTACTGAACTAGTTTACTGAATTTGGTGGGAGCCAGCTCTCTACAAAAAACTCCTATACTAGGTAAGTTATAGCCTCTCCAAGCTGCACTCAAACAAATACAGAAACTCTTGGAGTAAACCACGAGAGTCACATAATGAAGAGGTAAAATGGGCAAAGCAACCCACTGCTCCAGTCCACATATCCGTCGGTGCTGAAGAAGCTGAACTACTTGGCAATGAAAATAATGGAAAATGAGGACATAACCCCAAAGACACTTAATGCTAAACTACTTTCTCCCTTCCCAGAGGAAAACACAACAAAGGCCTGTGCTGCAGGTACTGGAGGCAGATATGGGAAGTGCAGAGAAAGTAAGCTGTGACATAAACCCCATGCCCACCTGATGGAAGGATCAGCTCCATGGTGTCATCATCATAATCCAACTCTTTCTCTGCTGAGTGCTTTCCAAGACCCTCCACATCTTTCCCATCCTCATGATCAGGATAACTGCTCCTGTGGAAGAGCAGCAATACATGGGTTAAACATGGAGAGCAGCCACAACTATCCAGACCCACTCTACAAAAGAACCACCGTGCACAGCTACAGCAAGGCACAAACACTGTTGTGTTTCACCTGCCTTGCTCTGAGAGCTCCTAATGGCAGAACTTTGCCCTGAACAAAGCCTGGAGACAAGGAACCCCTTTCCTCCACCCTGTTCTGCAACTCAGCACAGTTCTGCTGCTGCACACTCAACAGTGACTTATGGTGAAAAAGCCACCACAGTGCAGGTCAGCAGCTCCGCTCAGCTACTGAACAAGTGCAGCAGCTCCACCTGTCACCACAATATGAGGTATTTCTGACCAAAATGAACACAGCTTAGCATTAGCTGCAGGAAGTTCAACAAGAGGCCTCTAAATCACAGCAACTCCAGCTACACAATGAAACTTATGTAAGAAACCCCCAGTAGGTCTTAAATCCACAATCTCTTTAAAAGGTAGTGGGAAAGACAGTTATGACCTTTTATGGCCTTGCTGGTGCACTGAAAGCTCAATTCAGTAACAGCGAACATGCAAAACAGAATTCAAAATATACTTTGATGTAGGACTGGTAATTATGGTCACAGAAGAAGACAACCAATCTTGTTGTTACCATTACATAAAAGAGTGGGGAACCAGCAATGCAAAATAAGTACTGGAACCCGAAACACCACTAAATTTTAAGAATGAATAATAGTTTCTAATGTAATATTTAACTGTTCTTTTGTCTGTCCCCACCTGTGTACCACTCAAAGAGAAATGACCTCACCTAAAATCATAGAAATCTGCAAATTCCAGGGCAGCATCTCCATCTGTGAAGAGTTTGCAATGGCTTTTATCATTCATATGAGCCTGGACCGCTTCCGTAGAGTAGAAGGATTTCCCCTTTTCATTGCACCAGATGCAGATTTTCCCAACACCAACTTTCTCTCCTGCAAAAAATATTGGCACTTCTAATGGTCTGAACAAAATCTCCCTAGTCAGTAATTAACATTTCTGTGACAAAGCCTTCCCAGCTTGCAGGCAGAGAGACTTAAGAGGAGCCTTGAGCCCTTAATTTCCAGGATAGCCCTGCTGTTCCTATGCCGTGACCATATGGCCCCACCAGGGACAAGTCTGGCCTGTTAAAGATTTCTTGTGACAAGGTATGGGTCATTCAGTATTCTCAGTAACAAATTTCACGCTTCTAACATGTTTTTCTATCCAATACTTCAAAATTCTTTTATTTGCATCATTATTTTTAGACTTGAAGGATGATACTTTTTTTCCTTTTAACTCTCTCACAAGCACTGTAAACCAAAGAGACAAATTCGTGTGACTCACTGGTAGAACACAGTTTGTATGATTACTTTAGCAACAGAATTCTGTCCCAAATTTCACATTATCTGAACAACTTTCTCAACATCAGAAAACTATGAGAGACCTGCAGGGTACATGACCATGTTTGCTCATCTAAGTTTTTTCTCTCATTCTTCCTGGAAAGCCTGTGGTCCTGCTCATGATCAAAATACTGACAGCACTAAGACAAAAAAAAAAAAAAGCAACCCAAACTAAAACATTTGGTGTCATACCCAAATGAAAACAAGAACTATCAGAATATAATTATCCTGACAAATAGATTAGAGAACATTCAGTCATACCAAGATACTTGATTAGTCCTCTGAGATCCACAAGGTACTCTATGTCTGGAATGAAGAAGCTGTGGATTTTTGTCATATGCGCCACATTTTTTGTGAGAGATCTTGAGTGATGGGAACAGAACAAGCAGTCTGTGACTGGTATGGCCCCGACAGCAGGAATGCTTTCAGCCTCTGCCTGCTGTTCCCCTTCTTCTTCTTCCACACTTTCCATATCTTCATCAGAGCCAATGTCTTCATCAGAATCCATATCTTCCCAGTCTTCTAAAGGAAGTTTTAAAAAAAATATTTATTTTATACTTTCCCAAGCAAAATACATCCCAAATGAGTTAGAAAAAGCCATCATAGAACCTATTGCATTTTTTGTTCTTACAGCTAAGTACCACACAGTCACTTCCAGGTGCAAGAATTTACCATTGCCAGTAAAAGACATTTCTTTTTAAGATGCACAGCAAAGCACAAGGTCACTCATAAAAACTGTAGGCAGATCTGATACTTTTCCCCCTCCATTTTCTCAACTATTAACACTTTACTGCTGTAAACAGTAGTGTTAACATTAACACTCGAGAGGTGCAAGCTGGCTTCTTTAGGTGTTACAATGTATGCTCAGAGGTAAATGTTTCTCCTCATGTAGAACAGGTTCACTGAACTGCAACTGAAATTTCAAGAGCACAAAACTGCTGTGACAGATGCAGTAACGTGACACAGGGGTTTCAGAAGCTGGATTCAAGTTCCACCTCACTCATACCTGTCCCCTTGCTTCAGCTCAATCACCCCATTCAACTGCTCCAATAGATGTGTTTGGAGCTGCACTGTCAACTACAGCACTGAAAGCATCCAGGTTAAAAATAACTCTTTTCTGGAAATTCTGAAGCTCTGATCTTTTCAGCTGTCTGCTTTCCAGGCTGACCTCCAACACAGAGCTGTATTCATAGGAAGAGGCCACTGGGGTGGCAACTCTCAAACCTAACACAGACATCAACACGCTGGGGGGTGACACCACACAGTCAGGTTAAAGAGCAAATTTTCTACTCTGGTCTTGGTGGGCAGAGGGAAACAACACCAACCACAGTCCCACCTCCCTTCAACAGATCAGGAAATGACTTAGGATAATAGCAAATTATCATAACTGGATTTTTGTTCATTTATTTTTCAGAAGTAGTTTTAGGGTAACCTGTTACATCAACCTTTTTTAAAGGAAACTTCCTTTGATGCTTTATGTGGGAAGCAGTGCTCTGTGATACAGATATCCTAGTGACTATTTATACTCAATCTCTACATGCATTAGTGTCTGTCTGTAAGCTGAACAGCTGGCAGTCCAGATACTAACACAGAATCCCAGACTGCAAACACAGGCAACCTTAACTCCTTTGTTAAACTGAAAATTTAATCAACAGCAAGACCTTCTGTGATGGAAAATGCTGCACTGCTACAGAAGTAGGAGGAAGCTTTTGCCCAAACCATAGCTTACCCCAAGCTATCTCCTGTCAGTGTGTTTACTGCCTACCTTCCTCATTATCCTCTTCTTCCTCTGCCTGTTGCTTGGCCAGCTTCCTCGCTTGCTGTTCAAACCACTGCAGCCGTGGAGGTATTTCTGGTCGTTCTCTGCTCTGGGACAAGCTGGTGCTTTCCCTGGAAACTGGAGAGCTACTCGCATGACTAGGAGGTAGAGGTGTCTTCTTTGGAGATGAAGATGGCTGGGCTCTGATGGCTTGCTGAATAGCTGTGTTCATTTCATCTTTATTTACACTCTCTGGGGCCAGCCCCTTTTCCAGATTCTTCTCATTTAATATTTTCACCTTCTTGCTGACAGCTTGGACAGCTTTCTTCTCCAGCTCCAGGTGCTTCTTGGACTTCAGGTGATTCTCATAGGCATTGAAGGTGGAGAACCTCTTGCTGCACACTGTGCAGTAAGTGGCAGTGATTTTGTTCTGCTCCTCTGCTACTGCTCTCTGTGCCAGGACTCTCTCTTGGAAATTCTCAGCAGTAACAGGAGGCATGTCAGCAACTTTACGCTTCAGGTTGTACCGGTGCCAGTCGCTTTTGTAATGGGCACGCTGAATGTCACCATCCTTGAAAGCCACACGGCAAGTGATGCAAGTGTAGGTGGCCATTACTAGAAAATGGCAAAAAAATAAAATCATGTTAAAAAATTAAGTAACAGACACAAAAAAGCCCCAACACCTTCATCCTGACAACCTTATTTTAAGGCAGTGTTAGACACACGGTTCTTGCACAGAATTACTAAACACCAGCATCAGCAATGAGTGTGGTATTCATGGGCAGCAGCAAGAGAGGAAACTTATAAATAAAAGACTGAGTTCACTTGTACCACAGCAGCAGCTGAGCATCCCAGCTCTGGATGCAGAACCTGCTGTGCCTGTTGGGACTGTGATGCATGAGAGGGCCCCCAGTCACAGCACCAGCATTTCAAAAGCTCTACGCTTTTCACTGAAGATCAGTGACTAGAGGTTCTTAACAAGCTCATCTTCTACCCAACTGTAAGACTTTGGGGAGACCAGTGATTCCTCAGAAACAAGGGTAAAAAGGGAAAACCTGCTTACAGTCCTATTTTGCATCTTCCACAGCCTTATTAAATGGCATAAAAAAAAAAAAAAGTTACTATAGTTAAAAATAAAGCCTTCTTAGCTACTTTGGAGCAGTGCATGTAGTGTTGACAACACTTCACCCAGCAGAGCTGTTCATCTGGAGATGTAGTCAGTCATGCCTAGCACCTGAAACCACTGCTAACCCTGCTCTCCCTTCAGTTCCCACTATCCAGCCAACCCATGCTACTGGGGCTGGGACAGGACAACGGCAGAGCAGTGGCCTCCCACTCATGCTGTCCTTTCCAAACCCATACATTTCCTTCCTTCTCAGTGCTTAATGAAATTTTCCTTTCTTTTCTTTTTTTTTTTTTTTTTTTTAACAAAGCTGATGGAATTTCTTGAATGCTGCACAATCAAAGAGCAAAAAGTGTAATCTGGAGATCACAGATCATTGTTTAACTGATTTAGAAATCAGTTGATTAGATGATGCCTTAATCTGGATTAAAAAAAAATACATGAGGATGAGGGGGTCTGAAAGCAGGGAGAGGAAGAGCAGCCCTTCCCTGAAGCTACTAACAGGGAGAAGCAGTGGTAGAAGTCATAAACATGTAGAGTCAAAACACATGTTATGAAATGCTCATTCCCTGGAACCACTGGAATCCTTACTTATTATTGCTTGTGCTATCGGCAGTGTGATAGTGACGGGGGGAAGCAGCAATTGAAGGCCATATAATCTGGAGCATCTGCCCAGTACAACAGACGCTTTTTGTGTTTCAGAGAAAAACATGTTCTCTGCCCACTGAGAGATCCCGAGGATTCCCTGAGGCGTTTCCCTGCCACCCGCAGCGCGCCCTGCCCTTCTCCCCAGGCAAGGGCCAACCTTTGCCATAAAGCACTGACTCAGAGCCACGCTGGCTGCAGTGACAAACCCCTTGGAGGACGCCGAGGGAGAGCACTCTGCTCCGGTCCATGACGGACAGACAGAAGCTGCACGCTGCATTACCACGGGGGCACTTAAAAACACCCAACCTCGCCCCGCTCCGCCCCACCCGCAAGAAAGCGGCTCAGGAGAAGAGGTTTGTAACTAAGAGAAGCTAAAGCCATAAACCTTCACCTCTGTTACGTGGAGACGCGTTTACAACACAAATTGCGCAAAACAGAATTCCCGTGTGGTGGCACGGATCCTTCCCGCGTCCCGCCTGCATTTCCCGTCCCGTTTTAAGCCCCAGCACCGAGGCCCCGAGCCCTACCTCGTGTGGGGCTCGGCAAAAGGAAACCCCAGGCACTCGCAAGCCCGCAGCACAGCCGAGCCCTTCAGGCCAAGTCGCGGTCTCCCCTGAGGCTCTTTATCACGGCTGATTTCTAGCTGCCTTCGGGTGGATTTACACTGAGCCCGTGTCCCTGATCCTGGCACAAGGCAGGCGTTTACCACACGGACAACAAAACCTATAGATAAAAAAACCTAAAAATTCGGGCAAAACCTATAGATAAAAAAAATGAAAAACAAAAACCATGAGATAAGACAGGGCGCAGGCAGCAGCCGGAAGCCGCCAGGCCAGGCGTGGAGCAGGCCGGGCTCACAGGGAACCTGCATCCCAAGGGGGCAAAGCCGGCTCGGCCAGGCCACGCCTCCTGCCCCCGCTACCCGCATTGGCCCGGGCCGGGTCGAGCCGGTCCATTCCATTCCAACACATTCCAGCCCACCCCGTCCCTGATTCCCGGGACACGCACCTGCGGCCGGCGGAGCGGGCGGTGCCGCGCGCGGGGCAGGAAGCGGCCGCGCGGCGTCCGGCGGGAGCGGCCCGCGCGCGTCCCCTGGCGGCCGGAGGACGCGGGGCAGGGGCGGGAGCGCCGCCTCACGGGCCGTGCCGCGGTGCGGCTCTGCGCCTTCGGCTGGTTGGGCTTGTGTTTGTTTTGTTTCTTTTTGTTCTGTTTGTTCGGGTGTTCTCACGGAGCCAGTTAGGTTGGAAAAGATGTCTCCGATCGAGTCCAACCTATGCCGAACACCGCACTAAGTGCCACGCCCAGTCCTTCCTGAAACGCCTCCAGGGACGGTGACTCCACCACCTCCCTGGGCAGCCCTTTCCAGTATCTGATCACCCTTTCTGTGAAGAAAATTCTTCCCGATGCCCAACCTAAAGCTCCCCAGCTGCAGCTTACAGCTCTCTTCTTGTCCCATCACAGGTTACCTGGGGGAAGAGGCCGAAGCCCACCTGGCTAGAGCCTCCTTTCAGATAGATGCACAGAGTGATAAATTAACCCCGTTTGTTGTTAGAGGGTTTATTTCCATTTCTGGGAGCAAACACACAATGAGATGATGAAAGGTAAAAACTAACACATATTTATTAAAACAATCAATATAATAGTTCCATGTTTACAAAACAGTGATCAGGCAGGTAAAGTGCTGCAGAATACTTAAATACGGACATTTTGTAATTCTCCAGTTTCTGGTTGCCTGGGTGGGGGTTACTCACAGACTGCGACGCTGCTCATGTGCTGAGAACAGACGTGGAGACTACAGGGATTTATTTGTTCAGAAGGCTGGGACAGCATGGAGAAAGTGCAAAACGAACACAGAACAAGTAGAACGAGTATTTCTTCAGATCCCGTTACTTTGGGTTACAATTACTTAACCTACTCTGCATAGAATAGTAATTTTTTTCTAACAAACACAAGAGTGGTCAGTAGGTGTGTGGTACATACACATGGGAACCTCGTGTTATGGGAACGGTGGTTTTGCACTGGATTTGACACACCAAAGGACACCAATCCGATGGAGATCCTGTCACATGTGTACTGACACAAGGGGAAATTTTCCAATTACAAAAGAGTGACCTGCATCCCTGCCCTGACATACATCCTTTTCTTCCATCGGGATGCGTGAAGAAGCCACTGCAAGGCACAAGAGGGTGAGCCCTTTGCTGCCAGCTACGAGCACACACACACAACACAAGCAGCACCGATTCCAGGGCAGGATCACACACTCTTACCCCATGGCATTGGCTCACACTAAGCCCTCTGTGCTGCCCGTGTGCCTTCTGACTGGAAATCACATGCAAGGAAGCTTTGCATGGAAAAACTGTATGTTTCAATGCTATGTATTGCCTTATACCCCCCTGCCTGTATTCCTGCCCAGGCATTCCATTTGAAGGATGGGAAGGTGACAACAGTGCTTGGTAGGAAAGACGCTGTAGACCATTGTAACAGGAATTTTTAAGGAACTGCCATTTCTTGGCTGCTGCTACAATACAACAAAATGAAGTTTTCTCAAAGGATTTCCAACTGAGGGCAGTGTGGAGAGGATCCACAAAGGAGAGAAACATTTTCTTTGTGTTTTGCTGGCGAACTGCTGGCAGTGGAATGTATTGTGTCCACGCAAAGTGTTTCTTACATGTGGTTATGTGGAAGGGAAGAGATAATTTCCTGCAGAAAATTAGACATCTTTTTATACCTGAGGAAGAATATTAAATGTTACAGAATTACATCCTTCCCATTACACAGCATTTAGGGTTTTGAATGTAATTAACTATCATGACAGCAGAAAAAAAAATTCTAAAGACTCTCAGATGAACAACTATGTCCCTAACTTTAATGATTTACTCGTTCAAGTTTTGGTTGTTTTTTTCTTTCTGAAAAAAAAAAAAATAAATGAGTGTCATACTGGGGAAAAATCAATCTATTTATCTATCTTGAAACCAGAAAATGGGTCATTTACAAAAAGTCTGAGAAACTCCTCCAACTGCTTTTCTTTCTGATCTAATCTATTATTCTAGAAGAGTGCCCCTGTGTTACATACTTTCATAACCACAAGTATTTTCCATAAAACAACAATAAAGTGCACGCTGTTACAATGCCACCGTTGACAGCCAGCTAGCCTGTCCTGCCAGTCTGCTCCAGAAAAGCCTGTGAACGACTGCTCCCTCCCTGCCGCCTCTCCCTGTCCCGCAGCCAGTTTCCCCTTCTGGCACCAGTACTCCTGGACAAGGAAGCACGCAGTTGTTTGGGCATCCTACAAAGCTTCATCAGCAACTTGGATTTGTACTCTTTTAACTGTACAGATTGTCCTAAACGTGCGGCAAGGAAATGAGGCTTTTAAGTCATCTGAGAACTTTTTAAACTCACTGATTTTCCAACAAAACCTTTTTTTAATTTTGGTTGGGTATTTGATTTTTTTTTTAATTTATTTTTTCCAAATGAGAAGAACAACCTGGTGAAAGCTAAAGAAGAAACTTAGCAACTAATGCTGTGGAAGTGATGTGAGCCATGTTTTCTAATGATTTCCAGAAACTCAGGTGTTGAGATATTGTAATTTGAAAGCTGCATCTTGTGGGATCTATATCCAGCATCCACTTATTTCATAATGTATTTGATAATGAAGGCACAGGCTTACCCTTTTACTGGTAAAGGACAGCAAACACAGTCAATATGCACTACTGACACAAAAAGCACAAGCAACAATAAAGCTAGTGTCAAAACATCTCGGCCTCCTTCCTTTTGCTATACTCTTTTTGGCCATCTGCCTATTCTTCCACCTCAAAAGGAAAAAAAAATACAAAATGAAGTTAATTTCAAACACAGGTTTACCTATACATATATGTTAGTGGAAGATTTTTATCATCTGTTGCTGTACTTTTTGAGGGTCCTAGATGACAGTATTTACCTCTTCAAATGCCAGCAAATGGAAATTTACTTGAGTAGTAGTAGCAGCTGACATGGTCCCTCAACTTTGCTAATGGTTTACATCACATTAAAAAAACCTAGCTTTATTTCATCCTATTTCTTGGATTACTATTGCTTGGTATTGCAATGCAGTTTTGTCACAGGTGAACAAAAAAGCCCTAGAAAAATAAATTATCTGCTTGAGATCCCATGCCACTCAGCATGTGTGGACTTTAAACTGGCAAATAATTGAAACAAGTTTTTTGTTTAAAATTACATGCCAAGAAGAAGATTCTGAGTGTCTTCTCCAGCAACTGACCTCACCAATGCTTCTAAGTATATTAAAATCATCACCTTGCAACATAACTTTTGATGCAAGTGGAAGCAGCTATCACGGGAAAAATAGCCAAACCAAAACCTACAGAATCTCAAATTAAGGAAGTGGCACCTAAAAAGCCTTTTTGCTTTGTTTTTTTTCTTTTTTTTTTCTTTTTTTTAATCTCTAATCTCTACTCCAAACAATAACTACCCTCACCTGCTCCCAAACAGGTTGTTCAGTTTACACAATATTAACTTTTAAACATAAAGATTCATTGGCTGACTTTGCACGGGCAATACTGCCAAGGATCAGACTCCATCAAGGAACACAGCAGGTGGTCAGTCATATAACATGCCACTTGACAGCTCTACAAGCCTATAACAGCAAAAAACTTGGAAATGCATCACCATATCCAAAATAATTCAAAGGTTTTAAGTATGAAATCTAGGAGGTTTTATAGTGTTGCACACATATTTAAACTCGAGTTGTGTCAGTTAATGTGTTTCATATGCAGTAGATGCACTATACATAATGCTAACTGCAGGGATCCATACTTTTTGGTAGGATTGAAGGAGGTGAGATGCAGTTAATCTCACTGCAGCCCTCTGGTAACTTGCCCTCACAATATGAGTCGTTAATTGTATTACATGATTGGAAAACTAGAGTAAATAAACTGCTGATATTGGAAATTTGGCTCAGGACCCCAAAATAGATGGTTGGCAAAAAGGTAAAAGAAACCTCTCCCCCAACTATTTTGAACAACTGACTTCCACCACACATCTGCAACCAAACAGTGGATAGAGAATTCATTTCCATGCTATTACATTGAGGTACAACTACCAGAAACATTAAACTATCAGTATTAGCTGATACTTATCCAGTTAATTCACTCTGCATAAGGGAAATTATTACAACACATCTAAAGGGATAGTTAAAGCTTACAGCTCAGAATTTTCTTCTCTTTTTTTTTTCTTTTTTTTTTCTTTTTGTTTGTTTTGTAGTATTTGATGGTATTTTTTTTGTGTTTTATGTTTAGTTTCTTCTGTGTTACCAGCTGCAACTTCAAGGTTAATGACTTCCAAGAAGATTTGAAAGGAAGCCTGAAGACTTTTTCTTTTCCTGGGATTCTGCTTCTTGACCTTGTGAAAGTCCCAATTCTTTCTCAATCTGCTCTAGCTCAGACTGGTCAAGCAGTTCAAAATCATCACCTTCCTCTGTGTCTGTCTCCTCGCTCAAACTGGGCGCTGCCTGTGATGGACCTTGCTGTAGGGACTGCAGCTGGTCTTTGATGGCAGCAGACACCGCAGCCGTGATGACATCGCCAGCAATTCCACTCATTAAATTAAAGGTTTGGTCACTGGTCAAAGGCAAGGACAGCCCTGCAGTGGATGGTCTCTCTTTACTCTGTCTGGAAGCGTGATCCGCCTTGACATCAGTTTGCTCTTTCCTTCGTTTTTGCTGCGTGGGCAAACCGATGCTTGAGTCATCGTCATCATTTGTGCCAGCACCATTTTCTAAAGAGGGAAACTCCAAAAGGTCTCTAGCGAAAGCTTCTTCATGATCACTAGGTCGGTCAAAATCTATTACAAGGTTAACAGAAGAAAACAGTCTTAGCATTCACAAAAGGTTTCCCAAAAAGACAGCCCCACGTAACAATGTGAGTAGCAAGTGTTCCTCTGAATACATTTACTAATCCCTACTCTAGTAGTTCTCTAGTGGAACGAGCTTTTTGTGACATCAAAAACAAAATGGTTTTGAGGTCATAAATCTAGCGCCACAAATCTGCTGGTATCAACCTAACTATTTGAACAAAGTAACTTTTTTAAGCTAACTTTTTTAGGCATCTCTCTTTAATGAAACAATCCATGCAAATCTTCAGCACAGCTGTTTCTAAATATACCAACCACATGAAGTCCTAAAATTCATCTCTCTTCACAATATATATAAACTACAAATATGTAAACATGTAAGATGTGTTACGAGCTTTTAACGTGCATATGGAGTAATAAAAAGAATGCTTATCTGTTTAAAGATATAAAACCAATGTAAAGACTTAATTTCTTTTTCCTTTCTTGGCCAATGCTTGTATTAAAAAGGAAACATAAAATGGAAACTCTACAGATGATCAGAATTATTTCATGTTTTCAAGAGGATAAAAAGCAGGATGCAATCAAACATTTAATTTTAATTGCTGCATTAATGAATGACA